AAAACAGGGTTAGGGAAGACAGAAGATGGTAACTGACGTTGCATTTAAATTTCTGAAGTTCGTAAATAGCAGGGAAGGAAAAACCCGAAGAGAGTTTCCCTGGTGAGAAAATAGACTATTAGAATAGAATTTGCGGTTGCATGAAGCTGTTTCAGCAATAAAACGGTGAGAATGAGTAGCCAATCTAGTAGCAGGCTTAAATGTATGCAGTCGAGGCACTAAGGTAAAAAAAAAAGCTCATGAGATCAGTTGCCGTAAAATATTTGTAGAAAGACAGAGTGAAGCCACCTCATGTCGATGAGAAAGTGACTACAGTCGAGACGCCAAGTTAGGATCGATTACATTGGATTTTATCAAGTATCTCAAGGTCTACATAAATATATGTCTCAGTGCCACTTCGATTTTGCTTCCATTTCGAGAAAAATCTCGCAATTTTCTACATTATCAGCAGTATGAACTAAAATGGACGGCATATGTAATTTAAAAAGAAAATGATGACATAATCAAGATGCTGATTTTTTCACACTGCCATAAACAAAAAGTTAGGAAGCAAACCCCTATCAATAACGGAAAATGCAACAAAACTTACTGAACATGAGGTTTTATTCCCGCTCATAACCGCGTGTCAGGCTATGGACTTATTGATCAACCTTCTTATAGCTGTCTCTTGATAAGAGATTGAAGCAAAATCAAACTTACGACTGACAAACAGCCGCGGCAAAATTTATGCTACATTCGATTTCTGCGAGCTGTTTAAGTATCCTAAAATTTGGAGAAACAGGTTATATATATATATATATATATATATATATATATATATATATAGGGGTACGTACGTTAGTAGGAAGTAATATATGTGTGCACGTACGTAGATGTGTGTGCGTGCATATATATGATGAAATAACAATAGGCAGTTGAAAGGGCTTAATGCTTGGTTGCTTCAGCAAGGGTCAGAAGTGAACCAACCACCCGAAACTGACGCCATGTTGGGGGAATGCTGTGAATAAACAATGTCTAAATTATTCATTTTTTTTATAAATTGGGAGGTCCATTATTTATTGAAAGTTTTAGGGTTATTTCAGTTGTTATCCTCCCTCCCCAGTTACTGCTTCCCTGAAGACTTATGAAACTCTAAATATATGGGGAGGTGCTGAAAAGTTCTTGTCCCAACTTTGAACCACCACCATCCAAATCAATATTTCACTGACCAAACAAGAATTTTTTTATTTTATTTTTTCGGAAGGGTTAAAGAAATTTGATGTGCGACATGTGGAATAGCATTTATTTTCAAGACACTTTTCTTTGTTTCTAATGAAATCTTTGTGCTTCTAAATTCTTTGTATATTTCTTGGAAATTATCTTTAGTTATGCTAATATACATTCTTATCCCCCCACCTCTCACTTTTTATCGTCTGTTATAACACTTCCCAGATTCTGACGACTCCAATTCGTACCTCTTATCTTCGACTGTACCTTTTGCTAACAACCATACATTCGGTCTTCTTACAAATAATGCTAATTTTCTTTACGTTTTCATTTACTTGTAGTCAGTAAACAGAATTTGCAATCGTTTTGTTGTTAACGTTCTAATTTTTATCGTTACTACTTTGGCTTGTTATCTACAAGAAAGAAATACATAGTTTAGCTTGTTAAATCTACAAGGAAGAAATATCTACTTTCTGTTGTTATCTATAAGGAAGAAATATCTACTTTATGTTGTTATCTATAAGGAAGAAATATCTACTTCAGCTTCTTATCTACAAAGAAGAAATATTTACTTTAGCTTGTTGTCAATAAGGAAAATATCTACACCGTACAAATTTTCATTTGGAATGATATTTACATAGTAAAACATATTATAACATATGTATAATATAAAGAAAATATAATTACAATATAATTTTTTTATTTATATTTTAGTAGTAAACAACATGTACATCGGCCAAAATGTCTACACGTATAAATTTTAAAATGGAATGATGTCTACATATGATGTTAATTTGGCCTGATATCTACAAGAGAAAGATAACAAGCCAAAGTAGCAATTGTAGATATCACTCCAAAGTAAAATTTGTATGTTGTAGTTATTTTTTCCTTGAAGATAACAAACCAAAGTAGATATGTTTCCTTGTAGATAACAAGTCAAAGTAGATATTTTTTTTATAGATAACAAAGCCAAGTAAATATTTCTTCCTTGTAGATAACAAGCCAAAGTAGATATTTTTCCTTGTAAATAATTAGTCAAAGCACATATATTTTTTTATAGATAACACGGCCAAGTAGATATTTCTTCCTTGTAGATAACGAGTTAAAGTAGATATTTTTGTTTGTAGATAACAAACTCTGAGTTCTTGACACGATCCAGAGACGGATATGTAATCTAATTGGCCCTGATCTGGCGTCTCGTCTGCAGTCACTCTCTCACAGACGCGCCGTCGCCTCTCTCTGTCTTTTCTACAAATACTTCCATGGTAACTGCTCTGACGAGCTGCTTTCACTGGTTCCCAGACTCCATGAATTCAAAGCGCCCTACGAGGCTGGCATCCTGCTCCCACCCCTTACACCGTAGAAACTCTCAAATGTAGCCGTCTCTTCTACTCCAATAGCTTCATACCTCGCACCTCTCGCCAGTGGAACACCCTCCCCAGTTACTGTTTCCCTGAAGGCTATAATCTCCAACTATTCAAATGTAATGTCAATCGACTTCTCCAGTTACCTTGATCTACCCACTATCCTTCTCCTCACCCTATCTTCTATCACTCCTATCTGCTCTCGCTCCAAATCTTCCGCACCCCCCTGCATCCTAGTGGCTTCACGCCTTGCTTGGGGCGTAATGCTTAAAAAAAAAAAAAAAAAAAAAAGTTAACAAGCAAAATTAGATATTTTTCCTTGTAGATAGCAAGCCAAAGTAGATATTTTTCGTGTAAATAAAAAGCCAATGTTTCACCTTTAGTCATCGTCATATTATTGCCTTCTGTCCGCACAGCTGTTGATATCCTCCAGGAGAGCAAACCGGTGCATCTTCGTCGTCTCACATTTTTCACTGATATGAAGTAGAATGATCGATCTCGCACGTTTATAAATCTACCATTCGATCGTGCATTGAATATTACTGCCATATCTGGTCTAGTGCACCTATATATCCCAAGATTCTTCAAAAAATCCATACGGTCTGTAATATTATCGGTCCTAACCTGGCATCTTAACTTCAGTCCCTTTCCCATCGCCATGACGTGACATCCATATGTCTTTTACTATAACTATTTGCATGGCAATTGTTCTAATGGGCTTGCCTTGGTACCTCATCCACATGAATTTAAGCGTACCAACAGATAGGTAACTAAGTCTGATCGATTGTTTTCCTTGACCAAACAGTTTAAACAGGGTCGAACTGACTAAATGGCGAAAAGCCAGAAATGAGCCTGCAGTAGAATACCTTTTACTTAGAATTCAAGTATCTTGTAATTCTTTTTAAATTTTAGACTAATATAAAAACCTCCGATGAGAAATTAACTTTTTCCGTAATTGCTAAATTTTGAACAGGGATCTGCATTCAAATTACAGGAAAGAGTTAAAATCCACTGGGCCCAGTTAATAAAAGTTGAAGCAATCCAGTGTCTTAACCCAAAGATTTCAGTACATGGCCACAACAATGTTGATCAAAACAAATAGACTAATCTACCCCAGGGGACGGCATAATGGGTTCGATTCAAAATTCCACGGTATATCACCTGATGAAGGCCGGAACGAACAACGACCGAAACTTGGTGAATATGACAATAAAGACGAGGACAACAGTCTGAACAATGTAAATAGTGTAAATAGTGACAATGTCTCATCTCAGGCACATTGACAGATTCTGAAGAAGGCCGGAGCGTACAACGGTCGAAACATCGTGAATATGACAATAAAGACGAGGACAACAGTCTGAACAATGTAAATAGTGTAAATTGTAGCAAAATATAATTAAAGTCATTTCACCCCAATCAAAGCAATAAAGCCACTAAGACGCAAAGACTTACTGAGTGTTACAGAACATGAAAAAATACTTTTAAAGAAAACGAACAATAAAAGAACAGGAATTAAGAAGACAGAAGATAACCACTGACATTACATTTAAATTTTTGAAAGGAAAGCAATAAGCCAGAAGAGAGTTCCACAAGCGAGAAGTGCGATATAAGAAACTATTAGTATAGAACTTACAGATATATATATATAGCCATTTCAACTGTAAAATGATAAGAGCTTGCTACCAATCTAGTACTACGCTTAAATTGATAACGTCTTGGTGCCATAGAAGGAAATTCTTCACAAACTATTTATAGAAAAGGCACATAGAAGCTACGTTATGTCGGTAATATGGCTTACATTCACTGTCTCCAGTGCTCTTATACACTTATAAAATCTATTTTTACCTGAAATTTATCCAATCTAAGCGGATTAGAGTATAACAGACGAAGTTCGTCCATCCTTTCCCGCCTAAACTGCACGCACGCATGCGCATTTGATAAATGGCGTGTCGTCATCAGTTGTATGTGCACATTATTCTTCGACAATTACTGATTTGATGAGACCATCCGAGTAATTATTTGACCAGTATAAAACTCCTCTATACATTTTTTTTTTTTTTTACAGAATTCACTTCACGTGTCCAGCGATTTAGCGAGTGTACATAAAAAAAAAAAGAACTTGAAAATGAAGAAAATGTCAATTATGAATGAGACATCAGTGTAATGCCACCTGCGGGTCAGTTTGACAGACGATAGTCGACTTTGACACAAGTAAAGTAGTTAGTGTCGGTGATCACTGCAGGGCCCCTATTATAAAAAAAAAAAAGTTGGGACGGCTTGTCACTGGGTTAGACTGACGGGTGATGACTTTGTACAATAGATAGGGGTTGAGTGATCCTTGTTGGCTCCCTGCGTTTTTGTCGAATCTTGGTTCCAAATTGAAAGCAGGTAGTACGGGATGCTAGGGTGGGGATATGAACAGTGGCCCTTTCAACAGATAGATATATCGATGGTTGTGGTCAAGTTAAAAAAAAATAGAACGAATACATAGAAGTGGAAAGTGAGAGAGGAAGAAGATAAAAGAGTAGAGGAAAAGAAAGAGAATTTATGAAGAAAAGGAAAGAAAAGTTGAGAAATAAAAACGCTAAGAGAGCAACTGAAAATAGAGATAGTGAACATAAAAGCAGGGTGTAAGATACTGGGCGACAGAGAAAGAAAGAAAGAGTTTTTAAGGAAGGGGAAGGAGAGCGTTATGAAATGAAAAAAAAAAAAAAAAAAAAAAGATTAAATGAAAAGTAAGGGAAGGGGGATAAAAGTGAGAGAGAAAGAAAAAAACAATGAGAAAAAGCGAAATTAGAAAGTAGGATAAGGATATATATATATATATATAGAGAGAGAGAGAGAGAAATAAACTGATGGAATACATGATAGATAAAACAAGCAAAATAGATTAAACAAGATTGATCGATAGATAGAGAACAAGATCGATAAATAGATCGATCAAAAGATAGAAAGCACTAGATAGAAAAATAAACAAAATACATATAAAAACAAGATCAATAGATAGAAAAAACAAGATCAATAGATAGATAGATAAAAAACAAGATCGATCAATCAATTATAGATAGATTGGTAGATATAAAAAAACAAGATCGATAGATAGAAAATACAACATCGATACATAGATAGAAAAAAACAAGATAGAAAAAACAAAGTAGGTAGCTTACCTACCGACCTGGTTTTTTTCTATTTTGTTTTGTGTAGATAGAAAAAAAACAGGATTGAAAAAACAAGATAGATAGATAGATAGATAGATGGAAAAAACAAGAGGGGTAGATAAAAAACCAAAAAAACAAGATAGATAGATAGATAGAAAAAGCCAGATACATAGATAGATAGATAGATAGATAGATAGATAGATAGATAGAAAAAGCAAGATAGATAGATAGATAGATAGAAAAAGCAAGATAGATAGATAGAAAAAGCAAGATAGATAGATAGATAGATAGAAAAAGCAAGATAGATAGAAAAAGCAAGATAGATAGATAGAAAAAGCAAGATAGATAGATAGATAGATAGAAAAAGCAAGATAGATAGATAGATAGAAAAAGCAAGATAGAGAGATAGATAGAAAAAGCAAGATAGATACATAGATAGATAGATGGAAAAAACAAGAGGGGTAGATAAAAAAAAAGCAAGATAGATAAATAGATAAATGGAAAAAACAAGAGGGGTAGATAAAAAAACAAGATAGATAGATGGAAAAAAAACAAAGAGGGTAGATAAAAAACAAGATAGAAAAAGATAGATAGATGGATAGATAGAAAAAACAAGATAGATAGATGGATAGATAGAAAAAACAAGATAAATATATAGATGGAAAAAACAAGAGGGGTAGATAAAAAAAACAAGATAGATAGATAGATAGATAGAAAAAGCAAGATAGATAGATGGAAAAAACAAGAGGGGTAGATAAAAAACAAGATAGATAGATGGAAAAAACAAGAGGGGTAGATAAAAAAAAAACAAGATAGATAGATGAAAAAAACAAGAGGGGTAGATAAAAAACAAGATAGAAAAAGATAGATAGATAGATGGATAGATAGAAAAAAACAAGATAGATAGATAGATGGATAGATAGAAAAAACAAGATAGATAGATAGAAAAAGCAAGATAGATATATAGATAGAAAAAGCAAGATAGATAGATAAATAGATGGAAAAAAACAAGAGGGGTAGATAAAAAAACAAGATAGAAAAAGCAAGATAGATAGATAGATAGAAAAAAACAATATTAGTCGGATGCTTAATAAGAGAGCGAATAAAAAGATAGATGTCGAAAAGATAAACGCAGGGCAGAAGAGGAAAAAGAGAGTGACAGATCAGAAAAAAAGAGAGTAAGATGTTGAAGGCAAAAGAAACTTCAATGATTAGGTAAATAAAAAAATTGAATAAAGAAAGATAAGGAAAAGAGAGATAGCGAGTTAAACTGGAGAAGAAAGAAAGATTGCAAAGAAAGGGGGAAATAAAAATTATTGGAGGAAGAGAAGGAAAATAAGAGAGTAGGTAAATGGAAGATGTAGAAAAGAGAGATAAAGAGTAAAACTAAAGTGAACAAGAGAAAAATAAATCAGAAAGAAAGATAGACAAGAAGGAGTGCAAAAAATTGAGGAATTAATATATATATATATATATATATATATATATATATATATATATATATATATATAGAGAGAGAGAGAGAGAAAAAGCGTTGATATGGGGAGAGAAACTGGTGAGTGGGTTGTCGAATAAGATGCTGGGTGATACGAAATGATATGAAAAATATCTCTCTTTCTTTAATTCTCTTTCTTTCTGTCTCTCTTTCATCTTTATCTTTACTAATTCGTCTTCCTATCTCTTCATTCTAAATAATAGAGAGTTAGGAAGACGAATCGGTAAAGATAAAGATGAAAGAAAGACAGACAGAAAGAGAGAGAGAGAGAGAGACA